CACCCAAATGAAATGCATGTCCTTTTTTCCCACGAATAGAGCTTTCTTTTGGTGGTATTTGATTGCCTGTGCGTTTGTTATATTTTGCGCTATAAAAAAAAAAGACCAACAATTTTGAGAAAAAAAAATATTTTTGAATTTTTGCTATTAAACATGTCCAGTAAAAAAATGTAAAAAGTCTAATTTCATCATAAATTTAGGCCAAAATGTATTCTGCTCCATGTCTTTGGTAAAAAAATCCCAATGTTTGTAAATTAATTGGTTTACGTGAAATTTATATCGTTTACAAATGGCGGTATATATACTGGGATTTATTTTTTATTTTTACTAGTAATGGCGGAGATCAGCGACTTATAGCGGGACTGCGGTGAGCATTCTGACACTGGGGGGAACTGACTTGGTGTCACTGACATCTCCAGTGACACCAAAACAGTGATCAGTGCTACAAAAAAAGCACTGACACTGTACTAATTGCACTGGGCAGGAAGGGGTTAACATGAGGGGCGATCAAAGGGTTAACTGTGCGTTGTTTCACTGTGTGCTGTGTCCTAGTGCTTCACTGTAATCACACTGCTTTGGATGGCTGTGCTGTTCACAGCCATCCAAAGCAGTGTGTGCGTGCTGACAGGGAGGAGAACTATTTTGTTTACAAACAGTTCTCCTCCCCATCGGAGATGCTTGGCAATCACTGGGCGCTGGTGAGTAAGTGATTGACAGCCGCGGCCACGAATGGCGGCATGGGTAGGGCACGTTGACACCTTGTGCATGCCCCCCACCCAGAAATGCGAAATCACGTATATACACATGTGATTTTGCACACCCATGCTGCCCTGTAGCAATAATTCTGCTATAGGGGGGACAGGAAGCAGTTAAAGAAGATTTGCTTACCTGATCTTCTACTCCTCTGAGCTGATAGACTGCAGTGCCCAGTGGTCTAAGATCCTGACATCGTCAAGAACAATGCAGGGTCCATAGCACTAGAAGTGATGACGCAAGAAACAGTACGCCACAAGTGCACAGGTGAGAGTCATCTGCTGGGGGAACAGAGGATTGGGGAAGCAAAAGTGCTTTAAAGGGTAGTAAACCGCCTGGAGAAAAAAAATGGGCTCCTACGGGTTTAAGTCAGAACATACTAATATCCACAGCATGCTACTACATTATGACAGACTTACCTCCAGCACAGCGCTGTCATGGCTCCCTGGTGCTGCCATCTTCACCCAATCTTCTTTCTGGGTTTCGCGGGCTCCGACCATATAAATGGGCGGAGCCACGATGATGCCCTTGGCTCCTGTATGGCTTTGAATGTCCGGCATGGCAATGCTGTTCCTTCAGACCCTATGCGTTGGTGACGTCACTGGCTGCATTCTGTATAAACAGTGCAAGTTTAGGAGATATTCACAGTACCTACAGGGAAGACTTCGTATAGGATTGCCTGTAGGTACAACTTAAGCAAAAGACTTTACTACTACTCAGGGGCGGACTGACAACTCATGGGGCCCCCGGGCAATAGGGGATCATGGGGCCCCTGTGTCCTTGTCCAAACTCAAAAATACCTATGAAAAAGGTATCAGGGGCATCTCATGGGGCCCCCTACTGACCCCGGGCGCCCTCGGGCAGTGCCCGAGTTTCCAAATGGTCAGTCCGCCCCTGCTACTACTTTAACTCTCCCCTAGACTAAACATGCAATTAACCCTTGCAGTGTGAGTTCAACCCCACTCCAAGGGATCATTTTAAGGTTTTCCGGAGTTGGGCTTTAAGCTGAAACTCATTTATAAACTGTTTATTTGTATTAAGCTGTTTATTTTTGGCTGCACAACACTTGGCCAAAACAGCAACAAACCTAAATATAAAGCATTTCTAGTAAGTTGGATACTAATTGAGGTTTTTTTTGTTTTGTTTTGCTGTCATGACAGAGCACAGTATGATAAAAAATCATCCCAAGGAAATAAAGAGCTCAGTGTACATGTGCAGTTTAGCTCATTTTACTTACTGATACATTTCCCAGCTGTGAGATTTCCTGAAATATGTACAACAAGCTGCCAGCTGCAAGCAGAATTCTTACCATTCTTTGCGGGAAGTTCACTGAAAGACGTTAATAATGTCATTTGTGAGATTTCAGACATTTTTTTTAGATTGCAACTCCTTATCTCTAGTAAAATTTTATAATTAACTTCTAATGTAATCTTGGAAAACCTTCCTATTGTACAAATTCAGTCTACTAAATTCATCTTTAATTCAGCTTTTATATAATTTATTTATTACTAGACTTTTAAAGACTTTCTGAAGTCCCCTAGTTAGCAGTGTTGCCTCATTCCAGCCAATCTGAGCAGCTTAAAGTGGAACTTTATTAAAACAATTAAGTCCTGCTGGATCACTTCAGGCTGGCCCCTTTTGCAGGGATAGCTACTGTATGTAAAACATTACAAATAAGTGCCTAAAGTCCAGTAATACACCATCTCACCCTGCTCTTCACATGCTCTCTACTTTTCAGCATATTGCCAAAAATGTAGAGGCTGATCTGCTGATAGCCTAAAGATTTACTGCTGCTCAGTGGCTCCTGGCTTTACAAAATGGCAGCCTCCAGCAAGGAGAAATAGGAGCAATGCTGGAGGCAATTTACAGCACACACTAATTTTGGTAGCATAATTATTAATGTGGAATGTATGTTCCTTGCTAAAGAACATTTTTTTTTATCAAGCTGTTATGTGTAAAGTCCCACTTTAACTTCACTCTGGTTTGTCTGCCTGCTAACTGTAGAATGCATTTGGGCAGCTTTTCTGAATCATTACGACAGTGGAAGATTATAATAAGAGCAAAATGTAATAGGAAGCTGCCTGGAGTGCTTGTCTCAGAGGGGGTCATAGAGATGCTAAAGCCAAGATTTCTAAGTGTTTAGTATTTTTTTTTCACAAGGTTATCAACAATTATTCTTCGTATTGTTTTTAGCTAATATTTTATTTAAATGATCAAACAATCATGTGACAATAATGGGCACGCCCAAACCTGAGTCAGGAACAAAGCGGTACCCTTACCTTTCCTAGCATTGTCATAAATTTCAGTAAGGGCAGCAGGACCTTAAATCATACTCAGATCCTAGCAGTAAAAATACTGTATACACCATGTTATCAGCATTTGCATAATCATACTGAAACCCAGAGAACAGGCATCAGCCCATCAACAATGTGTTAATGTCATTTCAGTTTTATCAAACTTGTAGGTGGGACCTTTCTTAGGTACCTTGTATTGGTAGGGAACAGTTGCACACAGTGATAGGGTAGAATGTCTTTATGTAAGTTGGCACAGTCTAATAACAGTGCAGATAACTGATCTTTAGCACAGGTATATGCAATCCAACGTACCGTCTCAGTATGTTATGGGAGGTACTACTGGAGGATAGGTTTCATTACCAGGGGTAGTGTCTCTTCTTGGAAAAAGCTAAAGATGTTTTGGCAGTCTGTACTGGCTAATTTGCAAAGAGTATATGATATTCAAAATTTGGACACTACTTTCTGGATCATGCAGACATGTTTCACAAACATGCTTGAAAAAAAAAAAAAACCACAAATATCTGCATGCACTGACCCTTATGTATAATCCGAAGAAACTAGTGAGGACTCATTAAATAAAAGCAGCCAAGGGCCCACAGTGCAATTAATTTGGAACTCCACTTTCAATTATTTTAAAGTGGTTGTGAAGGCTCAAGGTTTTTTTACCTTCATACATTGTATGCATGAAGGTAAAAAACCTTCTGTGTGCAGCAGTCCCCCAAGCCCCCCTAATGCTTACCTGAGCCCCACCACAATCCAGCGATGTGCATGAGAACCTTGTCTCTCCGGAACTCTCCCTCCTCATTGATTGAGACAGCCAAAGGCTCCTGCTGCTGTCAATTGCAGCCAGCGAGCCAATGAGGAGAGAGCAGTGGTGGAATCGAGCCACAGCTATGTGTGTGTGAATAGACACACAGAGCAGGGGCTCAGGAGCGACACTGCTTAGGTGCCCCCATAGCAAGCTGCTGCTTGCTGTGGAGGCACTTGACAGGAGGGAGGGGCCAGGACCTGAAAAGAGCAGGATTGGGGATGCTCTGTGCAAAAGTTTTGCACAAAGCAGGTATGTCAGGTCTATTATTTTTGTTTTTTTTAATTACCTTTAATATCACTTTAAGCCCCCCTCCCCTGTAATAAAATTCTCAAATTGTACTTACCCTCTGTACGCTTTCTCTGTCCAGCATTGCTGGTCCTCTTTGGGCAGAATGTCACTCATTCTGGTCATTTCCTTTGATCCCGACCTGTCACTGATACAGTACATTCCCTGGAGGCACATCATCATGCTGGCTACACTCACAGTACTCCAGGAATAAGCAGTGCTCACACAACCTTATGAAACATGAGAGTCACTGGAAGAATACATGCCCCTCATCACTAGTGAAGAAGAAAAGGCAGCTCCCATGACATCACCAGATCTGCTAGAAGCCTGCAGGAAAAATATATGTGAAGGGCTTTTTTTAAGTAAAAATTAATAGGTAAGGGGGATGCGGGCTATAGGGGCTGGAGTGCTGATGTTTTTTTTACATTTTTAGATGGAGTTTCACTTTAATCCACTGTGTCAAAAGGTATGCAGCAACTGCATACCCCACCTAGAATAACTAGCTGGTGCCACTCCTGTCCTCCAGGTGCCAAGCTGGCCTTAGTCTCACAGATCAGACATCATAGCTAGTCACACAAGGCACAGTAAAGCTAAATGTCCATCAAAAGGCAACTTGCCCACTTTGTGTGAGTACACCTAAGTTAGGCCAAAAAATGAGGAAAATTGCTTTTCTACTCTGGATTTTACAGAGAAGAGTAGCCTGGCATGCTCAAGCATTGCTAGAATGCCAAATAAATCTTTAGGAAGGTAGGACATGTCTCCCATATGTGTTTCCTCACCAGTGGATGAAGTGTGAATGAATTGTGTCTTGTATTGTTATTTGTTCTTAGTAATATCAGCTCACATCTTATTTGGTTTTCTTTGCAGATGTTTCCTCTTCAGACAATATCACTTTTGGAATAAAGGGGATATTTAATTTCTTTTGGGAATGGAAGCCTTCAAGTGCAAATTGCTCATTAAAGTATTTAAAAGAAATGATATCATTAAGAAATGGATACAAAGCAAAGGTAATTAGATAATGTTTTTTCTTTGTGTGTTAACTTTCTACTGTACTGTTATAGTCTACCATAAAGTTGTCCTAAAGGACATTTTAATGGGCATCTAGAGCCTGCCTAGGTAGTTCCATTTTACACAAGAAGTGGAGAGCTTTTCAACACAGACAGCAAAGCATAATAAACCTTATGGTGCAATGCTCCCACTGTGCACAATGCATTTAGAACAGATACTCTGCATGCAGGGCACATTGAATCTTATAGTGCAGTGCTTCTACTTTTTACACAGTGTCTGCAGACTCAGTATGAATTAATGTCATCAGCACACCAAGGATTCCTCAAAACAGGCCCAAAGCTTTGCTTATTGGTCATATGGTACACAAAAAGGTTTCTGAGCCATACAGGGCCCCTTCATCGGACCTGACGAAGGGGCCCTTTGTGGCTCCAAAATGTTGCCTTTTTGTGTAACATGTGACCACACAATAAAGCATTGGACCCGTTTTGAGGAATCCTTAGTGTGCTGGTGACATTCCTTCGCCTTGAGTGTCTATGGTTCCCAGCCTGTGGTCACTGCAGCACTTATCAATACTGAACAGCCATCTACGGGAATGTGTGCATTGGGAATATTGCAACTGATTCAATATGAATTAATACAGATCCTGTTCACTTGCACCAGGGTTTGAATTTACATTGCATGAGACCTAGGCTCTTCTCACCAATGGGGACCGCTTGGGTTTATTTACTAAAGTTGGAGAGTCCAAAATCAGACTCCCTTCTGCATAGAAACCAATCAGCTTCTAACCTCAGCTTGTTCAATGAAGCTTTGGCAATGAAACCTGGAAGCTGATTGGTTTCTATGCAGAAGGGAGTCTGATTTTGGACTCTCCAGCTTTAGTAAATAAACCCCACTATGTCTATCTATGCTGTGCTCATCTGCCCATTATATTTCTACATCTCTTCCACTTTTGCTACTTTTTGCAGCCAGGAGCTATTAGCAAACAGTGCTCACATGATTGTCAAGGTAAACCCTGCAAATTCAGAATGCAAACAGTAAGGATCTCTAGATTTGGGCTCTAGTCACTGTTTAGCTCAGTGGTCTCCAAACTGCAGTCTGGGGGCTGGATGTGTCCCTTTTCTTGCCTTTATCTTGCTCTTGGGGAACTATTTCTTCCGTTGATACAAGGTACTACTCCTTCTACTGACATCAATGATGTGGCACTATTCCTTCCACGGACACCAACTTTGGGGCACAATTTCTGTAAATGATACCAACAATAGGGCACTATTCCTCCCACTGACACCCATGGCAAGGCACTATTCTTCTCACTGGCACCAATGATGGGACGCTATTCCTTCCCCTAATACCAACAATGGGGCACTTTTCCTTCCACTAATACCAACAATGGGGCACTTTTCCTTCCACTAATACCAATGATGGGGCATTTTTTACTCCCGTTGATGCCCGCACATTTTCTACTCTCACTGGCCACAGTCCGGCCCCCTCAAAGTCTGAAGGACAGTAAACTGGCCCTTTGTTTAGAAAGTTTGGAGACCCCTGGTTTAGCAAATGCCTGTGTGTCTGTGAAATGAAGTACTTTTCCCAGAAGGGAGCAGGTAGTAAATCCAGTGATCTTGCTTGAAGTACCACTAGGGAGAAATCATCTCAGCCACATTCCAGAGATAATTTGCCCATTGTTGTGGGCAACAGCTAGAGGACTATTTAGGAAAGCCTAGGTCAAAAAGAAGCATTGGTTTTCTCAAAACAAGCCAATGGCAACTTTTCAGCCATAGGCACACACAGGGTACAGCCCAGTTCCTAGTTAGTAGCCAGAGAAGAAAGGAATGGAATATTGGTAAAAAGAAGAAAGATATAAAATTATTAAAGAGCAATTGATGATAAAACCTTCAATGTTGTGTTTAACCAGTGGGTTAAATCACATGCCAACATCTCTTGTGTACTCATCTCGTAGTATTTTCCAGCTCTGCCATCTCACAAGGTCTTAACAAGTAATGCAATAACTTACTTTAAACTGGCCGTGATGTTTAGACATTACTGGAAAGCTTTTTGGGAATGTCTCATCAGTGGAGTCCCCATGAGATTTAAGCCAGCATGTTATAAAGGAAAAAATACTTTTAGTTAATCGTAAAAAAAAAAAAAAAACCCACAAACTATGTTATAATGTATTTTTAATTTATTTGTGCCTAGAGGTCATTGATGCTTAGCTACAGTTAACAGATATGATTTACGTTGACAAAAACATTATGGTTATTTTGTACACTTACATAATGCTTATGTACATTTTCAGGGACATTTGATAGACTTGTAGCGCTACCTGCTAGGAACCGCTGGTTATTTGCCTTTTCCCAGTAGTCGCCATGCAGCCAGACACACATACACTTTCACTCTTTTGGCTCAAGAAACAGTCCAGGGTTGTTGGATCTGATGTTTAAAAAAAAGGTTGAACTGAGATGGGGATTGGGGAAAGTTGGATACTCCAATAACTTGCTAAACAAACTTGAGGACACTGAGCATGATTCTGAAGAAACCATGAACACTGATCCTGTGTAGCAGATAATGGACAGGTTCTGCAGTACAGTATTGAGGAGGATGAGCTTTCTTTAGTGAACAGTCCAAGCAACAGCACTTTCACAAGGCTGGGGATGACTATGCTCTTCAGGACAAAACTTCTTAGCAAATACACGGCTGACCATCTACCACATAAGATGGGTGACAGCACTCAATCACTAGGATCTCACCCCGCCTGCACTCACAGAATACATCTGGATAAATGGTGGCCTCCACCAGTATCCTGCAGGCAATTTCTTCCAGTGGTACCAGACTACATCCTCAGACAACAGCCCTTCCAGCCAGCCTTTAGCAGCAGACAGTGACTCTAGGCCCTCCAGCCTCCCAGCTGGAGCCTCCACTCAACAATCACATGGTAAAATGCCCAGAAAGGGCAAACGAGCCCCTTTACCGATGATCATTCCCTCTTGAAGAAAATGAGGCTGCTCTCTGCCCCAGGGTATTTATGAGTTCTCCCAGAACTCTCTGGGCCAGATCCCCAGGATTGGCTGGGGCTACATACATTTTAAGCTGCTGATTGATATGCTCCCACGTCTATTAACCAGAGCTCCTCCATGTGAACAGGGTTCAATCATACAGCCTCCGTAACATATACCAGACCAAGATAATCAAACCCAGCTCCACTGGTTACAATGGGCTAAAGCTAAATTTATCTACACTAATACTTAGCTATACACCCCAGAATTCCAGCCTCACTGGGTACAGTGACACAAACTACATTTTCCTAACAGAACAGATTAACCCCATCGACTACAGTACGTCCAAACTAAATTTACCTATCCTAGCACCTGACTAGGAGGGTACTACATACTTTTAATAAACCCCTGCTCAGTTTTTTTTAAATATAGGCAGCCAAATATGCAAAAATATATTTTAAAAATCCATACAATTATTGTGGTACTATTTGGGAAAGCCCATATATTAGCGATGATAAGAAATAGCAATGAGCGTGTGCTACAGGCTGGCTCATCTTCTAAAAGATGTTGCAAAAATGTGGCCAAGCTCAAGCACAGAGAATGCTGAAGTTTGGATTTGGAGGCTGGGTTTTTTAAACGGGAAAGCGGCTGGGTGGAGGAACATCAAGTACATATTGTACGTTCATTTCCATTTTAAAGTGGTATTAAACCAAAAAAAACAAATTTTATATAACAGATTACCAATTCTTAGATGTGATAGCTGCATTTATTTTCTTTTTTAAGCTGTATTTTCTTCATTTTCACCTGATGATCCAGCCAGTAAAACTTTTTCAAAAGAACAAACTCTCCAGCAGAATGTTTTAGTTACAGAGATGAGACAAACCATTTAACACTAGTAGGAGTATTTACAATGATCAGCTTTTATTTGTTTGTATATTTGTATGTAAAACCTTTATCCCAAAAAGGAAAAAAACTTTGCTGCAACGCATTATAAGGTTTTAGCTGGAGTTTGACGTCAGTTTTTCAGTGTATTTAAATCTGTTAGCACATATAGCACTCCCCTCCTCAAGACTGTGGGGGCACTCTAATACAGGAGGTATGTTACTAGCCAGATCACCAGGTCAAAACAGAGGGAAAAAAGCCTAAAAAAGAAAACTAATGCAACCACCACATCTAATGATTGGTAAGTTACACCATATTACATTTTAATTTTGGGTTTAATATCGCTTTTAGATGATTAATCATGGCCATATAACCCTGTAGCAAATTCTCATATGCTTATAGGAAATAATTCCATATAATTTAGCTTTCTTCATATACTGTACAATACACAAATCAAATGCCACTCATCCTCATTTTGGTATTGGATATTGCAGCTTACTAATCCTTAGTGTGTTGGCTGCACTTATTTTACATTTTTAAGCTTTTTTTGCATTATTTTCACCTGGTAAGCCTGCAAATATCAGGCTATATCATTCCTCCACTGATCCATGGAGGGAGCTATGGTTGTCACCCTAGGCTCTTAATAGGGACTACAAATATGTCTGTATTTCTTCATCTCCATTACATGGAGCAGGGCAATTCGTAATTTACAGAAGGCAGCTAGGAAGGAAGATAATCTGTGCAATCCAAAAGTGACAAGAGCACTGCATTTCTGGCAAGATCAACAGGTATTTTCTGTATTTGTTGAAAATGTTGTTCGCTTGAAAAAAATTATAGTAAGCCACCTGGACCATTTAACATATGTATGCTGCAATATACTGCATTTTGTTCAATTATTATCATTGTTGATCACTTGTAAGTGAGTAAAAAAAATAATGCAGGTACTCGAGTTTGACAAAGCTCCATTTTTTATAATTTAACATCAATAGGAGGAAGGTTTATCACCACATTGGGGATTTGAGATTTCAGGATTCAAGACATTTGATATGAATGATAAACTCTCTCTTCATGTTAAAACTGAGTGCAATAACCTGGCAATAGAAACACTCAACAAAACTGTACAGCTGGCACCAGGTAATATCTGTTCAAATGCACATGTGTTTTGTTATGTAATTATTTCTGCTTGTCCAATGTTTGATATCACATCAATTTTGTTTTTGCATATTTCTCTACACATCTTTTTTAAATTGCAAAGAAATAGTTCAGTTTGATGGCAGGATCTCTTTGCTCAATCCAGCCTCCTGAGTCCTCGATAGTACCGTATATACTCGAGTATAAGCCGAGTTTTTCAGCACATTTTTTGTGCTGAAAAACGCCCCCCTCGGCTTATACTCGAGTCAACGCCTGCAGATGTCTAGCAGGGGGCGCTGCTTCTAAAGCAGCGGTTCTCAACCTTTCAACGACACTTTCACAGGGGTCGCCTAAGACCATCGGAAAACACATATTTCCGATTGCCTTAGGAACCGAGACACCGCTCCTCTATCCGTCTCCAGGTGTGGGCGGGATGACATGCCGTCCCTGTCATCTGGACACACTCCCGGGATCAATCCTCGCCGGTGATTGGCCGCCGAAACTGTAGCTCAGGAGAGGCACACAGGCGCCCAATCACCGGCGAGGAGGTGGAGCTTGGAGAGGAGGAGCCGAGCGGCACCGCGAAGATCGAGCGAGTGAAGAGGAGGAGAGCGGCTGGAGAAGGAAGACATCTGACCGGTAAGTGTGTACCATGGGAGAGGGAGGGAGCGATCGAGCCCAGGCTGGAGCAGGGGTCAGCAAGGTAAGTATCATTGGTGTCAGTGGGAGGAATAGTGCCCAATCATTGGTGTCACTAATACCAACGATGGGGTACTATTCCTCCCCCCACTGACACCAACGATGGGGCACTATTCCTCCCCCCACTGACACCAACGATGGAGCACTATTCCTCCCCCCACTGACACCAACGATGGGGCACTATTCCTCCCCCCACTGACACCAACGATGGGGCACTATTCCTCCCCCCACTGACACCAACGATGGGGCACTATTCCTCCCCCCACTGACACCAACAATGGAGCACTATTCCTCCCCCCACTGACACCAACGATGGGGCACTATTCCTCCCCCCACTGACACCAACGATGGGGCACTATTCCTCCCCCCACTGACACCAACGATGGGGCACTATTCCTCCCCCCACTGACACCAACGATGGGGCACTATTCCTCCCCCCACTGACACCAACGGCTTATACTCGAGTCAATAGTTTTTCCCAGTTTTTTGTGGTAAAATTAGGTACCTCGGCTTATATTCGGGTCGGCTTATACTCGAGTATATACGGTAACTGGTGTATGGCACAGATTCCGAGACTCTGGACCACAGATGTCTCTTCTGAATTTTGAATTGTTCACTGGAATTGTTTGCTAACTGCACATAAACACAAATGCTGTATGTCTGCACACATATCTACTGGCCATATTATATCGTGTTTTACTTATCTATAGTTTATCTTCATTATCTGTTCAAATGCACATTTGCAAAATGTTTCTTTTACTTGTCTGTATTCTAAATCTAGCTTTAATCTAATCCAGGCACGCCAGATTGGTATTTTTTTGTGTCACATGCGGCCTTCTTTTTCCTTTTTGCAGTCCTCAGTGGTTTGATCATTTAAAGTCCAACTGCAGCAAAACGTATATTTTGGATAGAGTAAGGAAGGGTTAGAGACCCCTTCATGTTGTATTCCTGTTTGGGCCCCTTTTGGAAAGATTTCACTTTCACTTTCTTTTACAACAGGAAATCTTGGATCTGTGTCGACAAGCTGTTTTCAACTAGCCATGAAGCCAGTTGGACATTTAGAGGGGCTTTGTTTTCTCCAACTTTAAAGTGGAAGTAAACTTTATCTGAGTACCACAAAGTGATTAAGCTATTTAATTTATTTCTAAAGCAAACTCACGCATCCATTTATCCATGTGTCCATGTTTTATTTTGTTGAAAAATCACTTTGATAATTAAAAAAGTGGTCACAAGGATAAGTTAAAGCGGAGCTCCACCCAAAAGGGGAAGTTCCGCTTTAAGCCTTTGTCCCCTGCTCCCTATTAACCATTAGCCGCCCGGCCAATGGCCGTTTGGCGGCTTGAAATGTGCTCCTGTATTCCGGGTGCACGCATTTGGCGTGCTCCCGCACATGCGCGGTTTGCGCGGTTGCAGAGCGACGCAGCAGTGCGATCTGTCACCGCCCGTGCACCTCGGACACGGCCGATGACAGATCCGAGTACCAGCTCCCGTTGCCGGTACCATGTGACCTGCTGTGACCAATCACAGCAGGTCACATGACAGTTGTATACAATGGATGGCTTCATTCATGATGCCATCCATTGTATACTAGTGCCTAGCTGTGAATGGTCACAGCTAATCACATGCACATGTCATGTGATTAGCTGTGACCAAATCACAGCGAAGCACAAAAAAAAAAAAAAAAAAAAAAAAAAAAAAAGCTGAATGAATCGATTTCATTCAGGTAAATGCTTGCTTATAGCAAAGTAATTCTTTGCTATAAGCAAATTGTGTAAAAAAAAAAAAAAAAAAAAAAAAAAAAATACTGATCACTTCCCCAAAGTAGTACAGTGTTACTATGGTAACATTGTACTGTTTTGGTCATAGTAAAATATGAAAAAAAAATCTTAAAAAAAATAAAAAAAATGTAATAAAAAATTAAATATAATAAAAAAAAAAAAAAAAAAAAAAAATATATATATTTTTTTTTCATACTGTCACCAGTCAGTGTCGCTGTTCACCGCCATGCCAGTTATATGATCACGCTGTACTGCACTGGTGACAGTATGTAAAAAAAAATAGTGAAAATAATTTTTTTAATTTTTTCATTTTCCGAAAAATTATGACAAAAAAATACAACTTCAAAAAACTCGCCATGCCTCTTATGAAGTACGTCGGACTGTCTACTCTGCAAAAAGGGTCATTTGGGGGATATCTGTACTGTTCTGACATTCTTGGACCTCAAGATATTAGATTGGCTGTCAGTACTTCAGGATTGATCAATATTCAGATCTATACCATAGTTTGTGAACTCTATAACTTTCCTACAAACTAAAAAATACATCCTAATTTGGGTTATTTTCACCAAAGACATGTAGCAGAATACATCTCGACCTAAATTTACGAAGAACAATTATTTATTTGTAAACTTTTATAACAGAAACAAAGAAAAATGTGTTTTTTTTTCAAAATTTTTGGTCTTTTTTTGTTAATTTAGCAAAAAATAAAAACCCCAGCGGTGATTAAATACCACCAAAAGAAAGCTCTAGTTGTGTGAAAAAAATGATAAAATTTTAGTTTGGGTACAATGTTGTATGACCGCGCAATTGTCATTCAAAGTGTGAGAGCGCTGAAACCTGAAAAATGGCCTGGGCAGGAAGGTGTAAAATTGCACGGTATTGAAACGGTTAAGGATTGGCACCTTTGGGGAGTGGGTACCCAAATTTGACAGGTACCCACTCCAACTTCTGCGGTGATCATCTAAGCAATTGGAAGTGGAAGTTGTCCGCCTCCTCTCCCTCCCTGTAGATTTCTGGGACACGTGACAGGTCCTAGAAGACTACGGGGTCATTCACAAAGCACAGCGCTACTCGCACATGTGCAGTGGGCACCCGGCTGTGAAGCCGCAAGCTGTCACAGCCAGGTGCCCATAATGAAGATGCTGGTGCCAGGGAGAGAAGATAGCCGGTGAAACCAGCGGTGGTGAAGACACCGCTGGACCGAGGGACAGGTAAGTGGCTGTATATTACAAGTCAGCAGCTACAGTTTTTGTAGCTGCTGACTTTTATTTTATTTTTTTTAGGTGCAACTCCGCTTTAAAGGATATGTTCACCTTTTGGACAAAAATAATAAATGCACATTTGTTTTGCAGGTAAAAAAAAGTGCATTTATTATTTTTGTTCAAAGGAGCCAGGAAAGCATTGCATCAGGGATCAATAGATCACTGATGCTATGCAGCTCTCCTGCAGATCTGTCAGAATTTCTGCTTGACATACGGAATGTGCGGTCAGGCAAATATTCTGACAGGAAGCTTCAATGAACTACCATGGCGCTCCACAGCATTGTGGGGACTTGTAGGCACTCGTTCACAGAGCACTACAAATGAGTGACATGGCCATGTGGGCAGAGCCCCGCTCGGCTGCTGTGCTGTTTTTAAATGTGACAGATAGTACGCGGAGAAGTTTCCCCATACTATCTGTCAGAGGGGGAGGGGGGAGGGGGGGTGGCGGGTGCTGCTGCGGCTATGGGAGCATGTTACATGTTCCACTCTAAAAATTGGTGGAACATGTAACATGTTCCCAAAGGTCAACTTATCCTTTAAGCTGAAAATACAATGATCAAATGATCGAAATCCAGCTGATTCATCAGGAACTGGATGAATTTCACTCAGTTTGTTATTGTCCCTGCTTAACAGAAGTTGATCAAATTATGCTAAAATGGACAAGTTGGAAAATGTTTCTCCATCAGCAGATGCAGCCGCCAATCAGTGTACTCTAATGCAGGCCATAGACAATTCGTTTATTGGCCGATTTTTCGTTCGAAAGAATAATCGGCCGACTTTCGCACTGTTAGTGGGGCAATGTCATCGGCTGATTTTCACGATTCCTCCTCATTTCTTTTATCGGTCATGCTGGAAAATTTGTGAAAATCGGCCGATTTTCGCAATCATTGGTGGCAACATCGGTTTACAGAACGACCGATGTTTCGTTTTTTTGATGAAAAATTGTCCTATAAACGAACCGTCCATGGCCTGCATTAGGCAGTGTTTCTCAACCTTTTTTCAGTCAAGTCACCCTTTAAAATTGTGTATAATCTCAAGGAACCATTTAAAATTATGGATAATCTCAAGGCACCCTTTCAAATTCTGCACTCTCAAGGCACCCCAATTTAAAATGTAAAAAAAACTATTCTACACACATCCAGTACACCCAACATCAGAGGTGATTTATTCTCCCAAAGCAAATACACCTTTGCACATTGGTACTGACTAATATTCCAGTGTGTCTCATTTTCTCTCCCTCACTTTGCTAATGTGACCCCAGTGCTGATGGAGAGGGGTAGGGGAGGGCCAAACAAGGATGATGTGAATGCACCCGACATCCTCCTTAACAACTGATGATGTCATAGGTTGTTAGGATGCTGGCAGCTAGAAGGTCATACAAGTGCACAATGAAACCTTTGGCTTTGTGTACTAAAAAGCAAGTTTGATCCACCTGCTGGCTTGTATACAATTTTTGGGCATTATGCCAAGGCATCCCTGAAGAAGCCTGAAGGTACCCCAGGGTGCCTGGGCACCCTGGTTGAGAAAGGCTGTTCTAAGGAGAGCAGGTGCGCTGTCAGAATACAATGTCCTGGGTAATGGTGAGGGCCGTATTCCTCCATCAACCTTGTGGTTTTAGCTTTTTTTCTGTTCAGCTCATTGCCTGAATGAAAAACCTCATAGTGTATGGCCAGCTCAAGACAGGTCTTATTGTTTTCAAGTCAGTTCCATAAGACCAATGTTTCTGAGAGAATGGCAGCTTCCCATAATGAAGACGTTGGGGAACCAATGAAGGGTACTGTTATTACTAAATAAATAATAAAAAATGAACAGTTCATATGGTGGTGTCAAGGTGACTTTAGGTGCTCTTATCTATTCCTATTTCTCCAGGTGACAGGATACTGTGCGATATAGTGCAGAAGGAATGCACACTCACCAGAACGCACAGTTTAATGAGCGTTTGTATATATATATATACTGATCCCTTGAGGTCATCAACTGGTCAAGATGGGGTTTGAAATCCAATGGTCTCCCTCCAATACTACTGAGTATGCTGTTAGGACATCAGGGTGATCCCTCAGATATTGGCCTGTATGTTCCTCCTTAAGTGATAAGGACCCTCCTTCACCAGCAGTAAACGGATGGCTGTTAAATAATACTCCCTCCTTCTCTTTTCACTTCATTTTCAACCGTGCTCTTCTATACGGCTAAATAATTTTCTCCAGGATTTTCCTGTTGGTTGTACATTTGAGTTTTTTAGGTCAAGAATGTTTTCCCCTTGCCAGAAAGAACTAAAAAAGCCTTATGTTACTGAAGCACTAGATATGCTGCGCGTGATCTAAAGCCTGCTTCTTTTCACAGTCCAGTCCAGCACTTCGCTTTCAATGCGTTCATTGCCATGGCAACCAATCGATTTTACAGTTATCTGGATCTCCATCAAGTACTATTTTCATCTAAATCCTCACAGTGCATAATTTCAGTACAGCTACCGAAAACCAATACCTTTTCTGTAAAATGGTGACAATCACGGTGATACCTCACATGTGTGGTGCAACTGCCACGGAGGAGGATTTCACCTAACAAAAGAGCTGCAAGGATTGTATCTTACTGACTGGAAATTATGTCCCTTATGTTGATTTTTGTGTTTTTTTTTCTTGTGGCTGATCTTAGACTTTAAAATTAATTATTTAGTCCTCAAAGAATGCCAATAGGCTGATACCTTTACTGACTTTTATATTTCCTGGAATCCCACGACTTACACTTCCTTCCCAAATCTCCTGGCTCTGCATCCCAACACCATCGCAATTACAAGGTCATGCGATGGTTTTTTTTTTTTTTTTTTTTTTTTTTTTTTTTTTTTTTTTTGCATGACCTTGTAATTGATGGTGTTGGGATGCAGAGCCAGGAGATTTGGGAAGGAAGTGTAAGTCGTGGGATTCCAGGAAATATAAAAGTCAGTAAAGGTATCAGCCTATTGGCATTCTTTGAGGACTAAATAATTAATTTTAAAGTCTAAGATCAGCCACAAGAAAAAAACACAAAAATCAACATAAGGGACATAATTTCCAGTCAGTAAGATACAATCCTTGCAGCTCTTTTGTTAGGTGAAATCCTCCTCCGTGGCAGTTGCACCACACATGTGAGGTATCACCGTGATTGTCACCATTTTACAGAAAAGGTATTGGTTTTCGGTAGCTGTACTGAAATTATGCACTGTGAGGATTTAGATGAAAATAGTACTTGATGGAGATCCAGATAACTGTAAAATCGATTGGTTGCCATGGCAATGAACGCATTGAAAGCGAAGTGCTGGACTGGACTGTGAAAAGAAGCAGGCTTTAGATCACGCGCAGCATATCTAGTGCTTCAGTAACAAAGGCTTTTTTAGTTCTTTCTGGCAAGGGGAAAACATTCTTGACCTAAAAAACTCAAATGTACAACCAACAGGAAAATCCTGGAGAAAATTATTTAGCCGTATAGAAGAGCACGGTTTGAAAATGAAGTGAAAAGAGAAGGAGGGAGTATTATTTAACAGCCATCCGTTTACTGCTGGTGAAGGAGGGTCCTTATCACTTAAGGAGGAACATACAGGCCAATATCTGAGGGATCACCCTGATGTCCTAACAGCATACTCAGTAGTATTGGAGGGAGACCATTGGATTTCAAACCCCATCTTGACCAGTTGATGACCTCAAGGGATCAGTATATATATATATATACAAACGCTCATTAAACTGTGCGTTCTGGTGAGTGTGCATTCCTTCTGCACTATATCGCACAGTATCCTGTCACCTGGAGAAATAGGAATAGATAAGAGCACCTAAAGTCACCTTGACACCACCATATGAACTGTTCATTTTTTATTATTTATTTATTTATCTATTTATTCATATATTTATAATACCTCTTGTCCAGCGCTGCATCAATTGATTTGTATTGTTTTATTGGGTTTATGGTTACCTGGTGTACAGCTGCTATATTACATTTTTTAGGTGCGCTCGTACACAATATTTCCATTTTTTACTGTTATTACTGCATCATAAAAATACATTATAAACCGTTTAAAACATGTGACATTTGTTTCAGGAAGGCCTTTTCTGTTACAGCAAGACTGCACCCTTGTATGTAAATCCAGGTCCATAAAGTAATGGTTTGATGAGTTTGATGAAACCTAAACCCTAAAAAATACCTTTGGGATGACCTGGAATGCCAACTATGAGCAACACTATTACCTGAGCTCACATATGCTATTTATGGCTGATTGGACATGCATTCCCAAATACACATTTCCAAATCTCTTAGAAAGCCTAACCAGAAGAGTGGAGGCTGCAAAGGTGTGGGGGAGGGGGGTATGTTTCTGCCCATGATTTTGTAATAGTTTGTCCAACAGGTCCACTACAGTGTGATTGTCAGGTGTCCACAAACCTTTACACATATAAAGGTTGATGTACTAAAGGCAAATGGGCTGTTCACTTTGCAAGGGAAGTTGCATTTGCAAGGGAATTTGTCTGAAAGCATAGTGATCGTAATGACGTTTCACTTTGCAAAAAATACTCAAACACATGCAAGAAAAGTGTGTTTGAAAAGTGTGTCATGCAAAAAAAGCAACATTTTTGTTTGCACAAGATTAGATGATGGAAGTCAAAGTGAAAAAAGTCTATTTGTCTTAATTAATCCCATAGTGTACATCTAATCTCATAGGGCTTGTTTACACTTGCGGTTAGCAGGCGGTAAAAACACATTTTTGCCACTCCTCAACTTTTCCCCCTTAAGTTGCACAGGCAGTGATTGGAGGTGTACATATGCCACGGCCATGATACCTAACTTCATGGCCATGGCAGGATTTATGCCCCGTCCCCACGGAATGCAGCCCATTCAAGTAAAAGGGTTTACACAGATGGTGAGGTGGCGATAGATTGCCTCCTCACCACCAGTCAGGGGTGTATTTACCACAAGACCAACAAAGCATTTGCCTAGGGCAGCATTTTTCAGGGGGGGGAGCACTTCCCCTTGGAAGAAGGGACGGAAGAAGGGACACACCCGGCATGGGGTCCTGGTGGGTTCCGAGAAAGACTGTGGGTTTCATGACGGTGTATGCACTACCCCATTCTTGTTCCCAGGGATATCCGGAGCTGTGAAGGCAAATGTCTTTCTCTGTCTTGCCGTGGCGGATTGTGGCTGGTGTATGGGGGGCAGTGGTAGTGGAAGGCTCTCTCAGGGGGGAGAGGGGGGGCAGGGATGTTGTTGGTCAATGGCAGGCTCTCTCGGGGGGAGGGGTTATTTTTGTGTTACATAAATACACCACTGCCACCTGTCAAATGCCACTACTGACACCTCAGCCAGTTAGTCCAGTGTTAGTTTTGCGTGGCTAACAAAGACTAAGTATGACCTAATTGTTTATGTTAAAAAACAAAAGACATCACTCAACTTATGCAAATTAAATTTTTTTTTTACAATGCTGAACTATAAATAAAAATTATAACTTGCTTGTTTTCTAGGTGATGAACAAACAGCTGTAATCAATTTCCACTGCGTTTGGCATTATCAGGAACATGTAAAGTGCACTTGGCAATCTGGACCAAATACTCCACCCAACACAACTTACCGCATCTTTTACTGGTTCGTAAACAGAAGATTTGCAGATAGAATACTTGAACCCAAATTATAGGCAGGTGGTAGCAGTAATAATCAGAACATAGTGACATTACACAGTAGGGATCAGAACTAGACCAAGAACTGCACCTTGCAAAAAAGAGGTTAGCGAAGAATCAGAAATACGTACATGTCCGTGTTCGGAAACAGTGGTGGTCCAAGAGAAAGTATCTCAAAGTTCTACTGATACCTAATACTAATACCTAAAAATTCAGTGGGGTAGAGTTCCCACAACCACTCCTATGACTAAAGTAGTGTAATGTGGTAATATATCCCCAGGCCCCATATCTGAACTGGATAAGCCACTCGACACTGATAGCAGATACAGCAGTGGCAGCTCTATAAGCATCTCTTCCACTTTGGCATGTAGTGCAGTCTGTAAGGGGTGTGACTTACAGCACGATCTGTGCTCCATTAGCTTCAGTGGAAGACAGGTGAGGCATTAGGGGTCTTAAAGACCCCTGATGTCTCATTAGAGAACCTTTTCTAAAAATACTGTATTATCGCATACTATATAGCTTGACATACTGGGCATCAACTAACTTCATAATGAAACAAATCACCAGCATTCTATTTTCTTTACCGGGTCTATATTGTTTAGGAAATTGAAAGAGTTGCAGTGCTAGACACCACCTGGTTACTCTGACAATTTTCTTTCATGGAGTTAAAGTATACGTGAACCTTTATCTTGTATACCTTGTATATAGTATATAATTTATTATTTATAAGTGATCACATGATCATTGTTTTGCTGCATTAAGAGGCTTAGAGATTCCTTGTGGCGATAGGGGTGTGTGTGGCAGCAGCTTGAAGTACAGATGCAGTGCTGTGTAAAATGCAGAAAGAAATACACTGTGAGTAGCTGGACAACGGGACATGTCAGCAGGATACAGAGGGACAGCTGTACACTGATCTTCCCATTGAAGAACTTGGCAAAAGGGCCATGTCAGCAGAGGTCTGACCACTGGAGTACAGGCAAGCTGTTCTCTCAAGTAGCCAAAGAAGCAAACTGACCACATTGGGATGGATGTGCTTCCATGCCCTTGCATGGTTAGTTTGACATAGGTAATCAGGGGGGGGGGGGGGTCTGGCAGGATCACCAGGTATTTCACACAAACGAAGCAATGCAAAGAGAACAGAATACTTTTTATCACAAGCACATGGTAACACAGACACACATCAGAAACATGAAATGTTGGGGTAACACACACTTTAAGTCACAGAAGTGGATCTGTTACCAGCAGAAAAGTCCTGCCATAAAATATGGTAGCTTTGAGACTCCAAGGCCAACTCTATAGGCAGACATTCTTTCTCTAGGACAGCGTATCTATTTCTCTGGGAAACTATTGTCTGCTTTTATAGAGCACTGAGTGGTCTTTCCCATCAAATTCCTTTCTTAAAACAGCTTCTAAACCAACTTCAGAAGAGTTTGTTTGGACAATAAAAGGCTTCGAAGAATCTCTTTTCTCAGAATAGGGTCATTACAGAGAATATCTTTCATTTTAGTGAAGGATTTTTCACATTCCGTACTCCATAATATTTGATTGCTTTTTTTCATTTTTCGTGGTCTCAGTATGTGGTGCTGTGATTATGAAAAATCATAAATAAACCTTCTGTAGTATTTAGCTGAAGACCTAGAAAGTAACAAACTTCTTTTTTTGTGCTAGAGCTCTAAGAATGTTTAATGTTTGCCATTTCAGGTTTCACTTTACCATTGCCCAAAATGTATTCCAAATATTCATCCTGAATAAAGGCAAATAAGCACTTGTACAGGGTTTGACAGTGAGTCTGAAGATTTATTACAGGACAGGATGGAATCCAGACATTACATGTGTTCTTCCCAAATGGAACTGAACACCATCATGTCATCAAGATGCCCCTCCAAAAGATCATACATTAGGTGCTGAAATGTTGCTTGCACCCCATGAGGCCTCAATGGCATAGTAACACATTGCCAGATAGGATTCCCTGTACTAAAAGCATTTCTTTAATTTAGATTCTTTATGTTAAGCAATTTGCCTATATACTGTATATATATATATATATAAATACATATTATATTGCCAAAAGTACTGGGACACCCCTCCAAATCATTGGATTCAGGTATTCCAATCACCTCCATGGCCACAAGTATATAAAATCAAGCATCTAGGCATGCAGACTGCTTTTACAAATGTTTGTGAAAGGCCACGTAAAATGACAGAGCGGGGTCAGCGCATGCTGAAGTACACAGTGATCAGAAGTCGCCAACTGTCTGCAGAGTCAGCAGCTAAAGACCTCCAAACTTCATGTGGCCTTCAGATTAGCACTACAACAGTGCGTAGAGAGCTTCATGGAATGGGTTTCCATGGCTGAGCAGCTGCATCCAAGCCGTACATCACCAAGTGCAATGCAAAGCGTCAGATGCAGTGGCATAAAGCACGCCACCACTGGACTCTAGAGCAGTGGAGACATGTTCTCTGGAGTGACAAATCATGGCTCTCTTTCTGGCAATCCGATGAACGGTACATGCCTGACTTGCCATTGTGCCAAGTGTAAAGTTTGGTGGAGGGGGGATTATGTTGTTGGGTTGTTTTTCAGGGGTTGGGCTTTGCCCCTTAGTTCCAGTGAAGGCGAGTCTGAAGGTGTCAGCATACCAAGACATTTTGGACAAGTTCATGGGGTGGAGGAACTTGACTGGCCTGCACAGATTCCTGACCTCAACCTGATCACCTATGGGATGAATTAGAGTGGAGAATGTGAGCCAGGCCTTCACGTCCGACATCAGTGCCTGACCTCACAAATGTGCTTCTGGAAGAATGGTCAAACATTCCCATAGACACACTCCTAAACCTTATGAACAGCCTTCCCAGAAGAGTTCAAGCTGTTACAGCTTCAACCCACAGCACAAGGCAGAGGTTATTGCTCACATATTTTCCCTAAAAATAATTTTTATGAAAAATTACAAAAAATAAGTTATAACTTTAATGGCTTACTGACAAAATCATTGCACCATTTCAATACAACTTTTTGGCCTATTGAAGGGACATATGAATTAAAAATGGAGCTCCACATGCCATTGAACAGAGCATAAAATAAAAGAAGAATATAACTTCAGAAGCAACTTGCAGATACAGCAAATACAACCAGTAAGCAGTAGAAATAATTAAATTATTTTCCTGTTCATCAGTTCCCATTTCTGATGGGTCAGGGGTCTTGCAACCTCATAGGACAATCCAGGTGAAAATGAAAACTCCTCCTACAAGCCTTAAACAGTGCTCTGCTGAACACAAAACTGCTATATACTGCTAATGAGAAAAGGTATTTAACAGTTTATATTTACTAAACTAATTGCACTTCTGTGTTCTGTGTACTGTGGCAGACCAGATATAGTGAATGCAGGGTCCTGGGTTTAGTAACACTTTAAAGATATTTCCCTTAGAGTTTGCAAGCCACAGGTAGTTGCTTCTATATTTCTATCCTGTCAGTTTGTTTCTGATCCCATTACCGGTATATACCCCCATCCACTTTTGTTGGCCTCATGCCTGTGTTTGGCGTGTAGAGTAGTAGAACGAGCTCTTACTGTGTTGGAACATGTAGGGGCTTTAGAGTTCAGAGCCTTTTGACGTCAAAATGAGCTGATAGGAAAATTATGTGGGTTAGTAATTTGCAAGACTGTGGCAAATACATGAATCACAATGAGCTTCTTTATATACACTGTAGGAAATCTTAAGGACCCATTCATACTTGCACGTTGCAGCAACGTGTGCTAAAACCTACAAGTCAATACGCGTTTCTGCAATGCCTAGAATGCATCTGCTCTACTGTATTTGCAGTGTGTTGTGGCACCATTCATTGTGAAAGGCACTTCATTGATTGTGCAGTAGAGCACGGCACAATGCAGCTCACCCCACAACCCATGTATGGAATTGGGTGATACACTGTGTTGCCCAAAAAAATCATATTGAATGGGCTCCCTTATTGTAGCACATATTAATGCATGCTGTAATGTGCATTAATCCCTGTGTATCAGGCCCGAACTGGAACAAAAAACAGGCTTGGGCATTTTAGACTGAGCAGCCAATTTTTGGCCAGGCTGGGCCTGCTGTGCATGAACGCACAACATTGGCATGCCTAAGTGTTATTTTGTCCTAAAGGGCAAATCCAGCCAGTCAGCTAATAAAGAGAGTTATAAAACTCAGTACAGGAACTATTTTATCTGCCAAAAGGTTTGTAAAGAACTGAGCTTCCTCTTGTCATCTACCATATCTTGCAAAGTTATCTGATTATCAATCAGATATAAGTGAAGCACTTCATGCTACAAACTTAAAAGTATAAATTCCCAAATGCCACACATGTGAAATATAAAGTGACTAAGGCTAGGTTCAGACATATGCAGGTTGCGTTTGAGCCGTTTCTGCATTGCGTTTGGATTTTTGCACCTGTGTTTTTGATGTGTTTTTGCCATGTTTTTGATGCATTTTGCATTTTTTTTCCTTGTTGCTAGGCAGATTTAAAATACAAAACGCATCAAAAACGCATCAATAACACAGCAAAACGTAGTACATGCTTTTCTGCAGCATTTCCATTGCAGTCTATAAAACCAAAAATGCAACTTTTTGTGTTCAAAAAAGTCCCTGACCCTTTTACAAAAAAACGCACCAGGTGGAAACGCACAGATGTGAACATGTCCCATAGGAAATCATGTTAAAGGGACTGTACTGCGTTTCTGCTAAACATTGCAGAAAAAATGCTTAGGTATGAACCTAGGGTTGGCAAAAGTCCCATACACATGCTAATTTAAATATTTAAGCAATCTTGATCTAGCAAATAGCCTGTGAAGTTCATCAATTTTACAGTGCCCACCACCACACACAGTGAAGATGTCTCCTCACCTTATAACACAGACCTCATTATTTAAAAGGAGGTCAATAAGTGCTTTTTAGTGCAGCCAGCCGATCAGCATGCAGATATCGTTTCCAGCTCTCCAGTCCTCAGCATGTACTAGACATGTAAATCACAAAAAAAGGGGCTTCATATACACTAAAGAATTGTTGAAGTTTACAGGCTATTTGCCAGATCAAGACTGTGTAAAGATTTATACTGGACTGTATATGGGACTTTTACTTAGTCAATTTATATTTCATGTGTGTAACATTTGGGACTTTATTTAGGACTTTTTTTTTTTTTTTTGCATTATTGTAATATTTTGCTGTCTCATATTTACTTTTATGTTTGTAGAGGGGAGTGCTGCTTCACTTTTATCTGATTGATTGTTTTTTAAAGTGTATAGTGATTGCACGTATAGATGGTAGCAGCTCTACTTATTTTTCTATGGTGTGATTTTTTTTTCGTCTTCTGTGATATTTAACAGAGCAGGGATTTTTTTTTTATTATTTATATTATGATATCTGATAGCATAGCATAAAAAAAGATCAGAGCCCCCAAAACTGCAGAATCTTTGACACCATCCTGCCTCCTACTAGTGAACATTTCCATATGAGCTGCTGTTTCCTATAAGCTCATAGTTTACATTACAAGTCTACCTAGCGCAAGACAGATTTCAGCTTTCACTATGTGTGCGCTCACTCTGAGATTTCTTGCAATAAATGTAGCTGAAATTATGGTTCTTTAAAAACAGCATATTTTTGTACTAGAGAGTAGGATTTTGTCCAGAAATTCCATTATACCCATCTAGAAAATGGCAAACAATCTGGCTCTCAGAAGCCGTAAGTAAAAGTTCTCACTTTCAGATTAGTCACTTTAAGAACTGATAAGCCACAAGTATTCCTACATATACAGTAAACAGTGTTATGACACTCCGTCTCTTAACCAATGTACTTTTACCCTGACCGGGATTATTTTTACATAAAAAGTATACAGTGTAACAGGGGCGGACTGACTATTCGAGCACTCAGGCACTGCCCGAGGGCCCGGGGTCAGTAGGGGGCCCCATGAGATGCCCCTGGTACCTTTCATTGGCTTTTTCATAGGCTTTTTTGGGTTTGGGCGAGGACACAGGGGCCCCATGAGTTGTCAGTCCTCCCCTGCAGTGTAATCATACTCCACTAATTTTCTATTTCTGTTCATCAATGTATTTTGTCCCTAGCAGGGACTACACACAATAGGTGGTAATGGCTGCAAAAATGTAATACACACTACAAACAGATTAGTATTAATAATGGATCCTTTAAACTAACTCCTTGGAGTTCAATGGTCTTTAAATAAAATGTATAGAGTTCAAATAATACTTTAGGCTTATGTTCAAAGTGTTCTCCACTCATTTGCCCGGGTGTTACATTTTTTAAATGCACATTCTGCACTCTTTAACAGATACCAATGTCTTATAACGCAGCACATCCTAAGGTCCAGCATGTGTGAACTTGGAGAATGCTATGCCTAGTGAGTTTTGTTTAATGGCACATGTACTCTAGGGCCACTTGTTAGGATTTTAGAGGCAACTCTGCAGCCCGATCCTTAGTTTCTCTTTAAAAATGTCTAGTTATCATCTGACCTTGGAAATATTTTATCTTCTTACCTAGGAATTTTATTATTATGCCTTTTTATATGAATTTAGATAACAAAATGAATTTATTCTTATGATATATATTATTTAAAAAAATGTAGCCCATATAAAACTGTGCTTCAAACCAGTTTTATCGATAGCCTAGAGACATAATTTTGTATCTTTTTGATTAGTATTGTATTGAGGTGTATTGTATTATTTTGTATATCAAAAAAATCACCGTGCCTAAACGCTTTGATGAGCAGATGAATTGATTCTCTCTTCATAAGAGCCAATTGATTGGGATATGATCATCATGTGTAAATGCAGAAGTGGACCATATAGTGAACTTTGTGTAGAGTTATTCACTTTAAAGTGGTTCTAACTTCAAAACATCTTTTTACTTTAATGTACTCCCTGCATTAAGGTATGAAAAGCTCCATTAACTCTTCAACTCCCCCCTCCCCAGCCCCTAAACATTTACATAGCACCACTCACAGTTCAGCGCTGTCCTAGCACTGCAAAGCCATAGGCTCCCGCTGTCAAAGCCTGTGAGGAGAGAGCAGGGGGTGTGGCCAAGCCAGGCTGTGTGTGTGGACAGCCTGGCTCGGGAACACCCCTGGACAGGTGCCTCCATAGCAGATAGCTTGGTATGGGGCCACCCAGAGGAAGAAGATGCAGACATCACCCTCCTCCTCATTCAACCATTGAAAAATGTCCTGTATTCTATTCACAGAACACAAGTCATTCTGTGATTAGACAAAGGGTGGACCTCTTATTCATATACCCCTTCTCTCCCCTTGTCCAGTCACAAAATGCCTTGTATTCTTGGGGGTGTGTCCTCTACTCCTGCATTGTACCAGATGGCAAGTCACAGCAGCAGAGTCTTGAAGCTAAGAGTAGATCTGTCATGTAGACTAGTGGTAAGGTATGTGTATTGGGGTGCATATCTCACTAGTGACAGGATTAATGGAGGTGAGGTATGTGCATTGGTGTGCACATCTCACTAGTGAAATGGTTAATGGAGGGGAGACGTGTACTGGGGTGCAGATCACACTAGTGACATGGTTAATGGAGGGGGAGACGTGTACTAGGGTGCAGATCTCACTAGTGACATGGTTAATGGGGTTGAGATATAATGTATTGAGGTGAACATCTCACTAGAGACATGTATAATGGGAATGAGGTATGTGTATTGGGGTGTGCACCTCACTAGTGACATGGTTAATGGGGGTGAGGTATGTGTACCGGGTGCAGATCTCACTACTGACATGGTTAATGGAGGTTAGGTATATGTACTGGGGTGCAGATCTCACTACTGACATGGTTAATGGGGATGAGGCATGTGTACCAGGGTGCAGATTTCACTAATGACATTGTTAATGGGGGTGAGACATGCATACTGGGGTACAGATCTCACTATTGACATGGTTAATGGGGGTGAAACATGTACTGGGGTATAGAGCTCACTACTGACATGGTTATTGGGGATGAGACGTGTACTGGGGTGCAGATTTCATTAGTAACATGGTTAATGGGGTAAAGCATGTGTACCAGAGTGCAGATCTCACTACTGACATGGTTAATGGAGGTGAGGTATGTGTATTAGGGTGCATATCTCACTAGTGACATGGTTCATGTGGGTGAGGCATATGTACTGGGGTGCAGATCGCACTAGTGGCATGGTTAATGGAGATGAGGTATGTGTGCTGGGGTGCATATCTCACTACTGACATGGTTAATAGCCGTGAAACGTGTACTGGGGTACAGAGCTCACTACTGATATGGTTAATGAGGATGAGATGTGTACTGGGGTGCAGATTTCACTAGTGACTTGGTTAATGGAGATGAGGTATGTGTACTGGGGTGCAGATCTCACTAGTGGCATGGTTAATGGAGGTGACGTAAGTGTACTGGGGTACAAATCTCACTACTGACATGGTTAATAGTCGTGAAACGTGTACTGGGGTACAGAGCTCACTACGGATATGGTTAATGAGGATGAGATGTGTACTGGGGTGCAGATTTCACTAGTGACATGGTTAATGGAGGTGAGGTATGTGTACTGGGGTGCAGATCTCACTAGTTGCATGGTTAATGGAGGTGAGGTATGTGTTCTGGGGTGCAGATCTCACTAGTGACATGGTTAATGGAGGTGAGGTATGTGTACTGGGGTGCAGATCTCACAAGTTGCATGGTTAATGGAGGAGAGGTATGTATACTGGGGTGCAGATCTCACTAGTGACATGGTTAATGGAGGTGAGGTATGTGTACTGGGGTGCAGATCTCACTAGTGACATGGTTAATGGAGGTGAGGTATGTGTACTGGGATGCATATCTCAGTAGTGGCATGGTCAATGGAGGTGAGGTATGTGTATTGGGGTGCATATCTCACTAGTGACATGGTTCATGCGGGTGAAGCATGTGTACTGGGGTGCGGATCTCACTAGTGGCATGGTTAATGGAGGTGAGGTATGTGTACTGGGGTGCAGATCTCACTAGAGACATGGGTACTAGGGAGTGAGGTATCTGTGCTGAAGAGTGGGTCTTACTAGTGGCAGAGATATGGGGAATTATCTGTGAATGCTGGATTGTAGAGATGTAAGTAATAGTAATTATTAAACATATCCACTTGCTCACAAAAAACAGCACTTTTTTTTTATAGGGCACTCAGTAATGTATAAAATGTATTTCAAGCAAGTAGACTTAAAAAATGTTTGCTGGTAATTTCGTTATATATTTTTTTTATATTTTAGGATGAAGGACACCTCAACATCAAAAAGAATGTATACACTGGCAGAGTAAGTTTAGTTATAAATTTCATTTAAAGTGTATTTAGGTGTCCGTTTATGAAGCAGTGGTAATTCAGTGCTGAGCACATTGCCGGCATTCTCAGCCTGAAACCTTCTACTCTGTGTGCTTGTTTATTAACCTGTGAACATCAGCTCTCTTTAGGAGAAGAGACATGATCTTCAAACATTCAGAACACTTAGGAACTGTTAATGCTAATCTGTAATCTCGTGAGATCTAGATTACAGTGTTGTTAATATAAAAGTGAAAGTGAAACACCAATCACAAACTAATACACTTCTCAATAAAAAAACTAAATAAAAGTTAAAGTTCACCACCCACAAATATAGACAAGACAACCCTTTATTTTATCTATCTCTATATAAATAAATAAATATATGTATATATTTATATACATTTATATACGACCCTGGTGGTTCCATCACTATATATATATATATATATATATATATATATATATATATATATATATATATATATATATATACACACACACACACAGTGCCCAGCATAAGTGAGTACACCCCAACAGATTTGTCAGGAAACCTTTACTTTCCTCTCAGAATCAACATTTTCCATGGGACACTATACTACAAAATACTCCCACAAATTCAGGCCATTGATTGCAAGCAAGATTTGTTAATTTGCACACACAAAAAAGTATATTTCCTAATAAATTCATTCATGACCAAGTTGCAAAAATGAATACACCCCAATGAAAGTCTTAGGCTGGCCATACATTATACAATTATCTGCAGATTTTCTGCCCAATTTCCTTTAGATTTACCTTCAACTATGTAGTGCAAGGGCCTGCCTAATTGGATACAACTGAAAGTGTTGTTTAGGTTTGTCCTCCTATTATATGGTTTTTGGTAAATCTAAACCAAAAATCTGCAGATAATTGTATAATGTATGGCCAGCCTTAGGAGCAAAGCTAAATTTTAGACAACAAAATCCTACTTACCAAGAATTCAACTACAGGTGAGTCTTATTATTCATTAAACAGGAGCCCAGCACACAGTTGATTATAAAAGGGTGTTACTTAAAGAAAATTCCTTCCCATTTCATGCTGTCAGCAGTGGCACCACATAGAAGAGAAATGTTACAAGGTCTGAGAAAGAAAATAATTTCTTTACACAAGAAAAGTGAAGGCTACAAGAAGATCAGCAAAGCTTTACTTTTCAGTCAGAATACTGTAGCAAAAGTGATACAAAAATTTAACAAAGATGTAACTGCAACCATCTCATAGAGATGTCCAGGCTGTCCACGGAAGTTAACACCTCAACAGGAGCATCTTCTGATGAGAAGGGTTGAAGAAAATCACCATGCAAGTTCACTGCAGTTAGCTAAAAAAGTAGAAAGCCAAACTGCGGTGATTGTTTCCTGTGACACAATACACGGCAGAGGAAAGGCATGCATATGTGTCGTCACGAAGGAAGCCTCTCCTAAAGCCCATGAACAAAAAAAACCCACCTAGAATTTGCCAGAGCCCATGCTGAAAAAAAAGAAGACTACCGGGACTCTGTACTCTGGAGTGATGAGACCAAGATAAATGTTTTTGGAACTGATGGCTTCAAAATTATATGGCGTCGCAAAGATGAGGTGTACAAAGAAAAATGCATGGTGCCTACAGTGAAATATGGTGGTGGCAGTGTCCTTCTGTGGGGCTGCATGAGTGCTGCTGGTGTCGGGGATCATTTCATTGATGGTATCATGAATTCACAGATGTACTGCTCTATATTGAAAGAGCAGATGCTACCATCACTCTGTGCCCTTTTGTTTTTGCTCACTTTTCCAACATGTCAATGATCCGAAACACACATCTAAGGCCACTGTTGCATTTCTGAAGAAGAACAGGGTGAAAGTGATTCAGTGGCCAAGTCTGTATCTTGATCTGAACCCAACCGAACACCTATGGGGAATTCTGAAGAGACAAGTTGAGCATCATTATCCTTCCAGCATCCAGGCTCTAAAAGAGGTCATTCTTGAAAAAAGGAAAAAGATAGATGTTGCAATATGTCACCAATTTGTACATTCATTGCCTAGAAGCCTTGGTGCTGTCCTTACAAATCATGGAGGTCATACAAAATATTAGATGTAGTAGTTCTTGTTGTGGAGTGTATTCATTTTTGCATCAACCAATTTGAGTAAAACTGAAGATTTTGTAATCTAAGTTATATTATTCAACTTACTTTCATTTGACAAGCTAAACAAATGTTCTATAAAACTCAGTTTTGTCAAAATTTTGGAAATTGTTCTTGTGTTCACTGAGATACTGAATAAAATCTTACTTTTTAAAAAGGGGTGCACTCATTTATGCTGAGCACTCTGTATATACTGCCTATATATATGTATGAATGTTAGTTAGGGACCTTAGATTGTACACCCCTTGAGTGTTAGGGACTGATGTGAATGTACAATATATGTATGTAAAACACTATGTAAATTGATGGTGCTATATAAGTACCAGAAATAAATGCAATAAATATAAAAATGCAATGTATATATTGTGTTTCGGACTGCAGCTTTTGAGTGCTTGTTTAGGGGCTTATGAAATGCAGGTGAGATGTACTTGATCTCACTGTCTTGGTGGCAAGGAGAAAGAAGGAAGTCTATACACTTCCTCCCAATTTCTCTGGCTGGAGTATCTAGGAGGGAGAATTCTTACACCGATCGCCAGTGCTGTCATCGCATCTTCATAAACTGGCTGTTTCCTTGCACCTCAATGACAGCTTCTCAGAACGCTGAGATGATCAACAGTAAACGTATTATCCGCTGATCATCTCTATTTCATAAACTGCTAATGAACTGAGATCAGCGGCGATCCTCATGATCATAGCTGATCTCAGTTTCATAAATCGACATCTTAATTTCTAACAATAAGCTTTTCCTTTTTTGGCCAAATAAATGCAGTATACCATTTAAAAATGTACCTTTTTGTTGTTTTGTAGTTTCAAGACACTTTCTGTTCAAGTGAGTGTTACTGGCAGGATCACAAGGTGAAAATAAAGGAAAAAAACTTAAAAGAGTTAACTATAATGCAGTCACCACAATCCTGGGCATTATTTTAAAGCAGCACGCAATATTACCTGCCTTTACAACCCCAAGCAATCTTTATATCAATTATCAGACTGCTGTATGACTGCTTGATATTGCAGCCGCCAACCAAACTGAATTGATGTGACAGCTTTTGTAGGATCTATTTACATATTTGTGTACACATGCTAATGCCCATTATGCTGCATGTTATTATGCATTGCGGTAAAGCACTATAACATGGCTTATACACTATATTGCACTAAAACATTTTATGCACCATTGTTAGCAATGCACCACAACACATGGTAGGTAGTGTGGTACTATGTTTTGTAGTGGTGCTTTAGGAAGGTTAAGTGTAGTGGCATTCAGGATGACATGGGCCCACAGAAAGATATGAAAACTGGCCAGAGGTTCTAAGTCCTGCTCTACTCTATTCAATTATAATAAAGCTGCTTGAGTTGATCTTTAAATGTAAAACATATGTACAGTATGGTAATGCTTTCTGAATTCCGGTAGGAATTCAGGGGTTAGAAAGTATTAAACTTGGGATTTTGTTTTAGTTTGTAATTTTTACAAAAGTCTTTCAGTGTTATACTGAATGTTAGTTGCTTTTTTTTCAGGTTATGGGACTTATTTGAAACTGGAAGGACCTGTGAGCTTTTTTCCTCTAATAACTTGAAGATTGTGGGATGCCAATTCCAACTTAATAAGAGCATTAAAGACAGTGTTATGTTTGCAATGGCAGTTACAGACACATCAAAGAGTATAAAGCCCTATATATATTATGGAAGTGCTAATCAGATAGGTAAGTTTGAGGTCTGTATGAAATGCTCCACTGGTAGTTATGTAATTTTAAGGGGAACCTGTGAGGATTGAAATGTGGGACCTGTGTTATCTTTCAAATACTACTTTATGCATTGACATACCACCTTAGACCCAGTCCAGACAGTATGGTCACCTGCTGACTTAGCACCTTCCATAGGGAGATTAACATTTCAATAAGACATGGAAGTTGAATTCAACCAGTGGTGGAACTACCAGGGTTGCAAAGGTCACACCTGCAAACAGGCCCTGGTGTTCCACTACTGTGGGGGGTAGCCCAAGCCTCCTCTTCCCTGTGCCCCTTCGTTACAGTCACTTTCAAATTTACAGACAAGGTGCCAAGCGCCCTAATGTCACTGCGCACCAGACAAACCTCCCCACCCTCCAAAGCACAACTGAATTAGCAATCGGCTGAGCACAGCTTGGGCAGGGGGGCATGGTCAGGAACGCAGTGAGTGACTTTAAGGTGTTGGCACCGGCTCAGTCTCTGCTGGCTCTCAGTTAAGAGTGGTACAGAAATTTGCCAACCATTCATAGTTCTCCTTCAGGCACACTATTTTAAATAGTTTTTTCCTTCACATTCAGCTGAAACTATGCTCACTAAAAGCTGATGATTTTGCCATTTTCTTCTCTTTGATTTGTCTCACATTTTTTACACCTTTTTCCATTCTTCAGTGCTGGAAACCCTGCATTTTATTGGCCTTAGATGCCATGCATACCCATGATTTCTCAGGCATTTAGACTATTTCTTCAAAGTTATTTTTCAGTGGCGAATTAAAGCTGAATTCCTTGCAGTGACAGAACTAACAGGGTCGCAAAGGTCCAAGTGCCAAAATGTCACGGAGCACCTGACCAGTAGCCAATTACTTAGCCAATTACATAGTTAGTCTGGCTGAAAAAAGACAAAAGTCCATCCAGTTCAACCATTAAAACCTGGCTTCAGAACTGCACATGCGCACTTCTGGAGCTGGCCGATTAGTAATCGACTGAGCTAGCATCATCTCGGTCTCAGCTGGTCTGGGCTTGGGCTACTGGTTAGGTGCACAGTGACAACATGGCACTTGGCATCTTTCCCGTAAATTTGAAAGCAACTGCAAAGAGGGGGCTCAGGGGGAGAGGAGGACCAAAAGACTAAGCCTGCAGGCAACTGCAGGAAGTCAGTGTTTGTAAGCTCCAGGTTACGCTGGGGTTTATTCACTAAAGCTGGTTCACTCGAAACCCATGCACTTCTGCATAGAAATTAGCTTCCAGGTTTTATTGCTAAAGCTTACCTGAACAAGCTGAGGTTAGAGGCTGACTGGCTACCATGCACTGGTGCACAAGATTTTGAGTGAACCAGCCTTAGAAACAAAAACCCGCAGAATCTGTGGGGCAGTCAGTTACTCTGAGGGGGGTCACTGATGTAAGGTGGGAGTGGACACCCTAAGGTAAGAGTGGACACCTAATATAAATGTTGCCCCTTATATCAGTGTCTTCACTCCCCTCTTATATTAATGAACCCCTTTATTTTACTGTATTCACTCTGCAGACTTTGGTGTAAAGGGTAAGTCTGATATAAGGGGGTCTCTGGTCAATAGGGCTCCCCTCCACATCCACCTTAAATCGAAGCTAGCAGCATTGCATCGTAAATCAGAGCTCCTAGAATTGCCCTTTCCTTTAGAGTAAGCAGAATAGACCCTTACAGTGCAAGGGGAAACTTTGCAGACTCTGAGGTAAGGAGCAACTCTGTGAACTTTGATGTAAGGGGGGTTCTGGAGAACAGACAACTTCTTACATCAGAGTTCTCCTTTACACCATAGTCCACAGCATTCCCCCTTTGCACCATAGTCTGCAGAGTTCACCGTCACATCAGGGTGCACAGAGTTCCCCTTTGCATCAGTTCCCCTTTGCATCAGTTCCTCCAGTTCCTCCATGCACTTTAAAGGGGAACTCTAAAGTAAAGGGAACTCTGGGAACACTGGGAACTCTGATGTAAGGGGGACTCTAATGTAAGGGAGAACTCTGTGGACTCTAATGTAAGGGGGAACTCTGTAAAGAGCCCCAGGAGCAGTGGAAAGGGCCCCGGGCTCAGATCAAGGGGGCTCTTCTTTGTTTCTTGCACAGGGGCCCTAAAGGTTCTTATTATGCCTCTGAATTCAATGCAAATATATTTCAGCTAATTGCAGAGGATGGTTTTCAGTAGTTGTGTAAGAAGTGTAAGAGGATAATGACTTTGCTAAGTCCTGTCTTTGTGAATAACTAACATTGATTGAGGGAACATAGAAGAAGTGGTGAGAGTCTAGCTAGGACTAAAATAACTAGCATTAAGCAGGAGTGGTGGGCATAGGGAGATATCAAAATAATATGGTAAACAAGTTATAGTTGCCAGAAACCCCCATCAGATGTCAGCATACTACAAAACAATAACAACCTAATGCAATTCAATACAACACAGAAAAATTGGTCAAATCAATTCAAGCCAAGGTTACATTCTGCCCTTACCAAGCAAGACCATATATACATAGACCTTGCTAAGACTGTAGTATTATCCTGGCCTGCCAGTGAACACTTCTTTGGTTCCATTGTTGGCTCTCTGTTGTTTCTGAAAACTTGGATTTTTATTTCATTCAGTCATTTAACATTATTTTGGTGATTAACAACATCATTATCCATATCATTATTATTGAATCGTTATTATTTATTATTGTTATTTTTTGCTGGTCATTGCCAGTAAATGTTCATTCATTATGTATTATTGACACGGGGCTCATTGATCATTTGTCTTTTATGTTCTTTTGGAATTACCAGGCTCAACTGGTTGTTTTGATAGAAGCCACTCTTTCTAGTGTCACAGATAACCAGAAGTCAGGAAAGGGCACTGGAGAAGCTTCTTTATTCTTCTTGTTGTCACACAAATCTGCCATACTGCATAGCTATGCATATGACACTCCTATTTTTTGGTTCAGCTTTGTAGCGTCCCATATCACCTCCCTGTGTTCAAGCCACCAACTAGACAACAAACCAGAATGATCTAATCTGTCTATATTCAGAACAAGAAAGTGTAAAGCTGAAATAGGGAATAGTGGAGTCATCCATGTGGCAGCTGTGTGTGAATTACAGGAATGTCTGAACAGTAATACAAATCCTTTCCCTAGAATAGGTCACTTATATTCATTTCATTTATGTATTTAGCTTTTTATTTGGAGTTGCACTTTAAACATTTAAAGCGATTCTAAAGATTGTTTTTTTTTTTTTTTTAAATAACAAACATGTCTATACTTACCTACTGTGTGCACTGGTTTTGCACAGAGCAGCCTGGATCCTCCTCTTCTTGGGTCCCCCGCAGGATCTCCTTGCCCCTTCCTCCTGTCGGGGGACCCCCAGAGCAAGCAGCTTGCTATGGGGGCACCCGCTGCTCCGTGTGTCCATTCACACGCGGAGCTGCAGCTTGGCCCCACCCCCTATCTTTCCTCATTGGCTGACTGGCTGTGATTGACAGCAGCAAGAGCCGATGGCTCCCATTTGCTGTCTCAGTCAATGAGGAGGCAGAGACCCAGGACAGCTGAGGCTGTCGTTCACATCACTGGATCGCGATGAGGCTCAGGTAAGTATTGAAGGGGCTGGGGGCACTGCTGCACACAGAAGGTTTTTCTATGCATTCCGTGTATGAAGATAAAAAACCTTGAGCCTTTACAAACAATTTAATGCCAAGATCAATGATTTGTCTTGTGTTTAAAGTGCAATACAATTGCAGAACTAATTATAAAGTATGTTTATAAAGATGTAGAAGACACAGGGTTTGAAATATTGCTGACCCACTGATAAGTAAGCTTCATCCTACCCTTCAACGTAGGCCTATTTCACACAGGCGTCAGCTTGCAGTGTGCAGCAAGATTTTACAAAGCATTTCAGTATGTTTTGTTGCAGCTTTTAAAGCATCATTCAACTCCAGTTTTTAAATGTTATCCATATGGGAGTTCTGATTGCCTCTTTAAACAAGCTGCTTGCAGGCTTCATCACTACTTGAAGCCTGTTTAAGCCTGCTGAAGTCTGCTAGCAGCTTGTTTAAAGTCACAGTCAGTACTCCCATTAAGATCTGTGTATAACATTTCCAAACAGGAGCTTAAGGGAGCTTTACAAAGTTAGAGAAAGCAGCTTGAAGTTTGCCAAAACCTTGCAAAAGTTTGCTGAAAGTTTCATTAAAGCTTGCTGTTGACAATGCTCTTATAAAAGCTGAAATCCATGTGAAACAGGTCTAAATCATCTATTTATATCTGCTGTGGTACTTTCTTTTCAAACTCTGTTCTAATTATTTGGGGCAAAGCATCTATATTACCCATGTCTAACCTGACAGATAAATGTAGAATTTCATGAGTTGCTATGAGCAATCCTTTCATACTTTAAAGCAGCGGTTCTCAACCTGGGGGTCGCGACCCCTTTGGGGGTCGAACGACGCTTTCACAGGGGTCGCCTAAGACCATCGGAAAACACATATTTCCGATGGTGTTAGGAACCGAGACACCGCTGCTCTATCCGTCTCCAGGTGTGGGCGGGATGACATGCCGCCCCTGTCATCTGGACACACCCTCGGGATCAATCCTCGCCGGTGATTGGCCGTCGGAACTGTAGCTCAGGTGAGGCACACAGGCGGCCAATCACCGGCGAGGAGGTGGAGCTTGGAGAGGAGGAGCCGAGCGGCACCGCGAAGATCGAGCGGGTGAAGAGGAGGAGAGCAGCTGGAGAAGGAAGACAGCTGACAGGTAAGTGTCTGTACCATGGGAGAGAGGGAGGGAGGGAGGGAGCGAGCGAGCCCAGGCTGGAGCAGGGGTCAGCAAGGTAAGTATCATTGGTGTCAG